AAAAAACGAAGTGAAACCTGCGGGGAAAAGGCTTCATTCTCAACGACACGACTCGAAAGGCAATTTCGGACGAGTTTCCCATAGGCATCTTGCCAGTAACCGCTACGGTAGGTACGGCTGCACGTATGTACTCATATATCCATGCAGCACCGCCCCGCTTCATGTAAATCAATTGGGTTAACATTTTACTTCGCAAGCAATACGATAATCAGGTACGGTCGTCCATTTGTGGGCGGGCGGGCGCGGTGGGCGTCCGGGTCGGTATGTTGCAGCTTGATAGGGCCTCATAAGGGTACCTTCTTTGGGGAAGGCGCTACAGCTCCTGCTCAGGGTCGCGGAATTCCGTCTTTTCAGGCATACTGATTCTACTCGTCTTGAGGATTTGTCGTGTCAACTGCCTTTAATTCAGCATTCCTATGATGACTTCCGAATCGCGAGATGCGCCTGAAGCTAGCACTTAACATGACGTCTGATGTGATCAGAGATACTTGGGATGGGGCTCCCGCGTGAGTCAAGTTGACTTCTTCCTGAAAGATTTAGAACAAGAAGGTGTTTCTCAAGGGGCGCTTCTCTGGGGAGCCAAAGATGGCTCATAGCCACGCGAGTGAAGAACTCGCTCGTTTTCTCGAAAAATGCCGCTGTCGTCAATGTGTTGAGGTTTGAGTAGTTGCTCCTCCGATCTTCAAAAATTTAAAACATCTTTCACTAGGTGCATTTCAACAGATTCCAGCTGCGACAAGGACCGAGAAAAGATTTGCCAGCAGTGTTACGTGAGCGGCATTCGCACCAGGAATAAGATCTAATGCTGCAGCCTGAGTCCAGAAAACGACCTATATATATGTATGTATGTGTATATGTGCACGCGGCGGCGCGATCAAGTGTACTGAACCACACCCTCCCCTACCAATTGTTATACTGCGTCCTCCTCGTTATTCACTGGATTTGTTTTGAGATCGTCATTCTGTCCATAGATTTTGGCCTCAACCTTTTCACATTATTCGTTTGAATTTATTTGTAGATATCGATTGCTTGCAGCACCAGGGTTATTGCTGCCACCAGCTATCGGACACATGGTAAGAAATCTCGATTCGTGTGACCCGGTCTATGTTGATCACATTGAGCGGAGACAGGAGCCCCTGACCCCTCCAGTGGTGCGCCCCTCTCTGCATCTAGCATTCTCAGAACAGGCAGGAGTACACGATGAAGAAATTATTATAATGGCAGGCCTGACTTTGCTCGAATGATTAGTGTGGACTGCGCCTTTGATAGACATCGTGATAACTAGTTGATTTTTAAAAATTTGAGCTGAATTTCAGATTTCTGGCATTGCCTCTTTGTGCTTGACATGTTCTATCTTCGACTTTATTGTAATGCGAGAGATGTACTATACTGTTCCCGATACGGTAAGTCATACTGTGCCCAATACGGTAAGGCATTTTACGGTAATTACTGAAAAAAAAACTCAAAAAACAAGTATAACTGGTAGCATAATGTAACGGCATGTATGGTGGCGAGTTCGGCCTGGTGGGGACATTCTGTTGGTTTCCGCCGACGCTTTGAAGATCAATAAGTTCTTTTAGAGTTGTGCAGAAGCATCCGGGAGCTTCGTTTCCATACATGGCTTACTAACGGGGGACGTGTGATCCAACAGCAACTAACAAAGAAACAAGTGAAAGAGCAAAATGCTACCCCCCCCCCTCCTTCAAACCGAACAGCGCTTGCGTTTAATTATAAGTGCGATAGGAAATGAAATAAACATGACAAAAGTAAACTCAATTGAAATAGATCATTGACGTATAACATCGTCACCAGTTAAGCCTGTTTTTATGCGCAATTCACGATCATTTGTGGGCGGGGACAGTCAACCAATGTTGTCTCAATACCTTTTGCGTTTCGCCGTCTAATGGATGAAAGGAATGACACAAAGAGTCATTGTTGCTGACTGTCTCCGCCCATATAATCGTTGCAAACAGCGATTGTAAATGATCGATTGCCTTGCATAATGAGAGGGTCAATTCTTCGCCCTCTATCCATTTTTGGATCGTTCCCTTGTTGGGATGCGGCACGGCATCCTACTTCCAGTAAAAATTGTAGCGGCCTGTTGAAGGCGGTGTGGCCTATACAGACTCCAAAAGCCAGCCAATGTACACAGTGAAGTTGTGTTACATAGTCAGGGTTAATCATCGGAACTTTTTCGAAAAATTTATAATTTTTCGAATAAATTAATAAATCTCACATTACACTCAAACCTGTTCTCCTACCCTTTCTTAACGGAGTGAGGAGTGAGAACGATTGTCTACTTTCCGTCTAAGGGCACGCGCGAAGCGGAAAGGACTACTTCCTTGCAATAAACAAACTGAAAAAGTTCAATATGTAAAAGTGGTATCGCAGTTTTATGCTTTGAGAAAAAGTTCCGTATGTGAAGTGGTTCTCCGCTTCCCGCTCATGCTTCTCGTATGTGGGCCACTCGCTGGATCGCCCGGCTTTGCCGGACAGTGTGTTCAGAAATTTTTCAAAAAATTACCGAAACTTTACCCTCTACAATTCTTGTAGATAACCCCTAGAAGACAGCTGTCGAAATTTTCCCCCTAGAGTCCTTAGTGTACCCTCCTTGATTTAAGGATAGACTCGCAGAAGTACTAAGGCGGGGCCTACGCCGGTTTGTAAACAACATACTGATTTTCGGGTTTTTCTCCGTGTAGTTCTTCTGCAAGTACCCGTCTGCTACAGTTTCATATCGTTTGTCTCCGTTTCCTGCTGCTCTGGATGCGTTTTGAAGGTTTTTATGGCCTTCGTTTTCGTCACTTCGCGAAAGGCCCCGGCCCGTGTGGCGGAGGCTCAGCCTTCGTGATACGTGACCCTGAGGCAGAATTGGTGCCCATGCTACTGTGTCCAAGGACGCAATCGATCCTTAAAAGTGGATTTTAATCAAACGCCCGAAATTCATAGCGGGCCCGCCCAGGGATGCCCACAGACACACACTACAAACACATTTCTGGTTCATATATGTAGCAAGATAAATAGTAATTCAATATACAATATACTCTTCACTTAGAATTCAATTAAATATGTCCCGACAAGTAAAGTTTCTTTCCAGTTACATTCTTTGAAATTTTCTCCGAAAAGAAATGTAAACGAAAGCGTTCCCATGCTTTTTCAGAAACTGCTGATTCCAACCGAGATGTCGTGGTGGTTCTATGGCACATCGATACTCTGCGTAGTACTCTCTACTTTCACTGTGATTGCCAGCACGACTTCTGGAGCTATTCAACGATTTGCCGAAAACAGCCCACAAATATTTTGCTTTTTGGTGAGTGATGCTGAGCAAATAATTCAAGCTCGAAAGTGGCCCTCGATTTGCTTGCACAGACGCTTTGTAACGTACAATTCCGTTCTTTTGAAATGCTATGCGGCCAACGAAGGGCATTTCTCCTTAGCTAGAAGGCGCTAAACGGAAAAAGCATCTAGGCTGTTCAATTCCAGTTTCGAAAATATGGAAATGCGCAATGCATTGTACTTCAATTAAGAATCGTAGTGGTATTTTGAGTGCGATTTGGTATGCAGTTCTGAGCAGGGCCTGCTGGTGTAGAAACCAGTGGTGAATTAGCCCTCCTAAAAGAGTCCGTAATCAATTTACTGGTTCTGGAGAGAAAGAGCTAGAGGGCTGTAATCCATTGCAGTAGGACAAACCTCAAGTATCGTTCATATGCATAGGAGGGGAGCAAGAGACATGGCTGCGTGACTGCGCCTTCTATGCCTACTCTCTTCCCCTATACACACGACTCTGCCCCTCTTTCGCCTGAACCCTCGAAACTGCCACGCACCTTGCTGCCCTCAGACGTGGACCGTAAGTCGAACATTGGGCGCAGTTTGCCGACGGTTTCGAGGGCGGGGGGCATTTTGCACTTTCGTTGCTTCACTAGTTCTGGTTTACAAGTCTCACTCTGGTGAAACCTGTGAACTCTTGTGAAGCTGGAGCAAGCTCGTCAAGCCATCATGGTAAAACCTGTCAACTCGAGAAGGCTGTCTAGATGGGTCGACACGTCGATGGGAAGTCGTTAAAGTGCAAAATGCCCCCCGTCGCCAAACGGGGCCTGGCATTGAAACACTTTCTCGTAAATCTAAACCTTGAAACAGTCCGGTCGCTGTGGAAGAATTTAGCCGTCTCACAGGAAGAACTATCGTATGCTGTCACGGGAATTTCCATTGAACGACCAAACTCAAATTATTTCAGCATGGAGGATTCTTGTGCGCATCGAGCATTCTGTGTGCGTTCTGCACATTCTTGGCGATGCAGATGTCAGAAAGCGTTGGCAAGTACGCCTTCCAGGCTCACCCGAAGCAGTTCCAAGATGCATCTCATTGGTATTTTGCCCGCCTTAGGGCTTCAGCGGTTGGTTTTTTTGCTCGTCCGATAAATTGTTAAGGATTGATTTTCTACCGATGGTTGGAAAAATTGAGCAGTGTTTGAGATCTCCTCTCGAGAGCCTCACATCCCCTTGAGATGTAATGGGAATCTATAGCGCGCACCTTGGAGATGTCAAAAATCGGTCGTTCAGTCAAGCGACTACTTTTAGTACGACCCCTATGGACCCAGGGCACGCCATCGCGTTGTGATCATTTCCTGAAAAACACGACCCCCTGAATTCTATCCTCAAATACGACCCCCTCCCCATGCTACCTACCACTTTCCTAGATTTCCCAACTTCCTATACTTTTCAATTTTTCCCGGAAAACTTCCAATTTTTCAGCCAAGAATTTCCGTCGAGGAGGGAGGGGAGTATACAGGGGGGGCCAAAAAAAGTCATTTTGCCTCCATGACTTTCAAGGCGCTATAAGTTACACTTTATTAAATTTTTATCGGACATTTTTACTACCATATTAAAGAGCACATTAAATACTATAATGATACTCCGCCACAGCCTTCTGGAGGAGCGCCATCGAGAGATTCGGCCGCGCGAAAGTGAGTGGGTACCGGAGTTGAGCGAGATCGTTGATTTCTCCGCCACTGTAGACCACCCTGTTGAGCTCCGCCCGAACCGAGTAATT